ATGGGAGAGACTGAGCATACAACTGTTGCCTCAGTTCATCACCAGTCGGAGATTTATAGGAGAGAGTCAGGATACAACAACTGTTGCCTCAGTTCATCACCAGTCTGAGGTTTATAGGAGAGACTGAGCATACAACAACTGTTGCCTCAGTTTTTCACCAGTCTGAGTTTTATGGAAGAGACTGAGCAAACAACAACTGTTGCCTCAGTTCATCACCAGTCTGAGATTTATAGGAGAGACTGAGCATACAACAACTGTTGCCTCAGTTTTTCACCAGTCTGAGTTTTATGGAAGAGACTGAGCATACAACAACTGTTGCCTCAGTTCATCACCTGTCTGAGATTTATAGGAGAGAGTCAGGATACAACAACTGTTGCCTCAGTTTTTCACCAGTGTGAGCTTTATGGGAGAACGTGAGCATACAACAACTGTTGCCTCAGTTCATCACCAGTCTGAGATTTATAGGAGAGAGTCAGGATACAACAACTGTTGCCTCAGTTTTTCACCAGTCTGAGTTTTATGGAAGAGACTGAGCAAACAACAACTGTTCAACTGTTGCCTCAGTTCATCACCAGTCTGAGTTTTATGGGAGAGACTGAGCATACAACAACTGTTGCCTCAGTTTTTCATCAGTCTGAGTTTTATGGAAGAGACCGAGCATACAACAACTGTTGCCTCAGTTCATCACCAGTCTGAGTTTTATGGGAGAGTGGCAAAAAAAATTACAGTGATGAAGAAAATTCTGCTTAAATATTAGACTCTCCAAACAATACAGGCAAACTGTAAACTCTGAGGTTCATAACCTTTTTTGTATCACTCCGTCTGTCCCAGTTCCACCTGCAGTTCTTGTTGTCCACAGAAATGTTAACGTGTCCGAGCATTGTATTTATATTCCTTCCTGTTGTAAACACTTACTGAATGTTAATGAAAAACATGCTGACATCATCACCAGGTGTTCAGCATCACTCTGCTTTCACGCTCAGCTTGTTGGATTGTTGCTAATCTTTGTAGAAACCACAGGACGGCATGATTACCTGTGAATAAACGTGTAAACTTTGTAATCACAGTCAAAATAAAGTTCTCCTGACACACTGGACAACAACAAGCAGTGTGTGTCTTCATTCATTTGAAACTACTTGTGTGAAATACAATAAAGCTCAGAACTTGTGTAACATATGTATTTTTATTTTGTTTGTGTATTGCCCGCCGGTGAAAGGCAAAGCTGAAACATCCTTTTGGTCTTGTCACATTTTACTTCAGTACTGTGTCTGTAAAATGGATTGTGCCACTTTTGTGTTTTGTAAGGTCAGCTGCTTGGGGTGGCCATCTTAAACTGGGTTGACTCCAAAAGTTAGTCAGTTGTAGATGCACAGCCAATGATTATTTCCTGAACATTTCATTAAAATCAATGTGGTGGTTCAGTAGATATTTTGCTAACAGACAACAAATCATATTGGATGAGTGAGAATCTTCACCAACATACACGTCTGGGCCACCTCCATCTCTCCAGGTGAGGTTTTTGTTGCATAGGTGAGGTCTCCTACAGAAGAAGGGGCATGGTTCTTCAAGTTTACACTTTTGGATCCCTTTTAAACTGTAACTTTAAATATTTATGTTAAC